CTCTCTCTCTCTCTCTCTCTCTCTCTCTCTCGTAGATCAAGATGTAAGCCCTCAGCGACTGCTTCATAGCCTGCAGCCATGCTCCCTACTGTGATGTCATGGACTCTAACCCTCCAAACCTGTAAGCCCCAAGTAAACTTTTTCCCCATAAGTTGCCTTGATCATGGAGCCTTATTACAGCATAGAAAAGTGACTAAGACACACCCAAACCTATTGAACCAGAATCTGCTTTTAATTTGAGATCCTCCAGGGAAATTCATTGTGAATGATAGCTTGAGCCAACCTGTCCCAGGACACTCAACAAAACAAGGTAATAATCTAAGTGTGTTGCTGACTGAGGGAGACATTCAGCAACACTCAAGCTTTGGGGATGACTGAAAAATTCTTAGTCTTGATTTAAAAAAAAAATTATCAAATTTCAGTAGGTCATTTTATCCTTCATCTCACCGGAGGAAGAACAGAGGAACTACAGATTTTACTTCTGAAATTCTAGAATCAGGATATATCTTACAAGATTTAAGAAAGGCAACTAGGGATTTTCTAGGGGTTGGGTAATGAATTTACAACTCAGGGAGAGAGTGTGTGGTGCTGAGTTGGGGTTGAGGGAGGGGTCCTCACCATTTAAGTCATGTCTTGGAATAAGCTCCGGGCCAATGAAGAGGGCACAGAGCTCCTTCACCAGGCTCCTATAGGACAGCGTGCTCCAGTGACGCAGGGTCTCTTTGTCCAGCTTTGGGAGCTCCTCTGGCATATAGAGGCCCCCATCTGGTGCATAACCAGAGAAGAGGGCCCCCTTAAAGTTGACCCGTGGGGCCATTCCCCGGGTGCTAGTGTACCACATGGTCCTGGAGGCCTGCAAAGAGAGAGTCTTCAAGCTCCTAGCACCCAACAGGAAGAAGCTAAGTATACAGGGTCCTCTGACCGTATCTCAGACATGGTGATAGCAGACCTAACCTGAGTTTCAACTCAGCATTGCTAAGTCTTGTGTAAATCATAATCCTTCTGGTCAAAACAGACAATTCCACTGAGTGCACTACCTTGAGGTATGGGTATTGGAGTATGCTGGGGAAAGAGAAACGCAGCCCTTACCAGTAACAAAGAAAACTTTGGAATGGAGAAAGATCTATAAATAGCAGGTAGCTGCCATTTTGACAGGCTTCTTGGTAAAGAAAAGACCAGAACACCTGATTGGCAAATGCTAGTGTGGATGTAGGGGGAAAGGGAACATTATATTCACCATTGGTGGGAATGCAAAGTGGTTTAGCCACTATAGAAATCGGTGTGGAGAGTTCTCAAAAAGCTAGACATGAATCTATGATATGATCTAAATATTCCACTCCTGGCCACATTCCCAAGGGACTCTATATCCTACTACAAAGATACTTGCTCATCCATGATCATAGCTGTTCTACTCACAATAGCCAGGAAATGAAGACCTGGATGAATGGGTAACTGGGAGTCAGCTTTCTTCAGGGATACAGGCTCTCGGGGGCTACACATGCTCCAGTGGAGGGCCCCACACCCATGTACTAAACGATCTCCGTGGGGTTTTTGGTTTGTTTGTTTTTAAGCAAGAGACCACATGAAGTTGGGAGGCCCAGAGGGGAAGGAATAGGGATCAAAATACATTATATGCGTGTATGAATTATTTTTTTTATACTGCAAGAATCATGCCCCAGGAAACCCCTTAGTCCTATACATATGATGGTTGGACTCACCAATAACCATTACTCTATCTTGCAGCCTAGCTTAGAAGGCTAGCAGTAGAGCTTACATACTGTCTTTGAAACTCTCTAGCCGTGGCTAATTGGCTCTGGCTACCTGGCGTGGATTCAGGGCTCTCTGATCATTTGAATGAAACAGAGATTACAGCAGAGTTTATGGTTTCCATTGTTAAACCTGTCAGCTTGACTACCATAACTCCCAATGCCACTTAGGCATTTCTGTACCCTGCCCATAAGAAGGGGAAACCCGAATACTAGAAGAATCCTAGCTTCCCTCTCCTTCCTTGGCCTCTCCCTGACCCTGGAGATGGAGACTGAGCTCCGCCTCCATCCCTGAAGCTGCCGTTTCTTCCTCCAGATCTCTGACACTTGTGGGTCCACAGGGAGTTCTACATGAGATGCCACACACCACTCTGCTGACTACAAAGGCACGTAAGTTCCGTTTAGAGGCAAGGTTGTGCTAAATAACCAACCAGGTAGGTCCGACCTTTTGACATTGCAACATGACTTTGCCATCTACAAAGTTCAGGCCTCAGAACGGTGCCATCAAGTTACAAGAGTAAGAGAATAAATGAAATCACATAGTTTTAAATTTACAACTTTGTTTTGGGCCTCCTCAGTCACATGAATTAGACATGTCTGAAACCAAGAATATTATTAAATAGACCTGGGGTGGATGACGTAATGCTGGGTCAATGGGTATAAACAGAAATCACGTTAGGAATCTGGGATATTCAGTCAGCCCACACAGGAGCCCATGACAAAGGACAAAATCAAGGCAACCTCAAAAGCCCAATGCAGTGATAAGGAACATAGGCACCAGTGCCTCAGAAGGCAGAAGCAGGGTCAGGAAGTCAAAGGCTTAGCAATGCCTTCAGTAACCACAGGGAATTCTGGAATGCTGTGGGCCATGTTCGCGTCTATGCAAACTGCTCTGAAATCCTTGCTGCATAACGTTTCTGGACCTGACTAAAGGAAATCCTGCCAGCGACTTCTATTAATCAAACTGCTGCAGGTGCCGGGGCAGGGCAGAAGCAGGTAGAGCGATAAGGAAGAGCTCAAAAGAACATTTTTTCAAAAGCCTGTCCTCGGTGGAATGGACCACATGATATCCGGGCACAGAGGTGGGATTCTACAACCCAAGAAAGACATGAACAAGGAACAGAGGCAAGAACCCGGCTTGAAGTCAGCATGTGCCAGAATAAGAAGATGACGTGGTTAGCAAACAGGCCCAAGCTTCTCACAGGATAAAGAGCTGTCTCGGTTCTGAAAGATCACTTCGAGGGTCAGCGTTCCCGACCTAACAGAAGAAAGCTACAAGAAGCACAGCTAATGGTTCTTTTGTTTTTTAAAGACTGCTACGTGAGGGCTCTGGACTCAGATCTCCGCTGTACATTATTGTTATAATTACTTTTTGGAACTTCTCTGGATTTTATTCCAGAGCGGAGACAGGGGAATAACCATGATAAATAATAATAACAGTAATATCCGCCTTTCGGGTGGGATTCAGCGTGGCGGTGGGCGGGGGTGGGGAGGCATGAGGCTCGCCTCTAGTTGCAGATCACTACTCTGATTGGAGTTTAAGGCAAGACCTGGGAGGGAGGTGTTCACCCGCTGGCGAGCTCGCAGCCCCACCCTCTGAACACAGCGCACTGTGCTGAGTTTCGGGGTTTTTCCTATACAGCCAAACCCTGACTGCCGGTAGAAAACATGGGAAATCCTGCACCCGTGCGGGCTGCTGGGACTGCTGCCATCCCAAGGCCCCAGCTGGCTTTAAAACGGTGGCCCGGAAGCCAAGCGGAGCTACGGGACCAGGACAGCAGCCAGGAGTCAGACACGTCACCGCGTAGAGCGCGGGGTGGGGGGCACCTAGCGGGGACCTGCGTGAGGTTACCGTAGGGGCGCGGAGCTGCCTGGCGACCGGAGTCCAGTGGGCGACGTGCACAGATCTGACTTCCTAGAGCCGGAGGTTCTGAGTTTAACGCCAAAGCTGGGGAGGAGCTCCTACAGAGGGCGGAGAGGGGGTGTGGAGGAGGGACTTGAAGGAGGGGTAGACGACAGAGCTTGAAAGATAGGAGTGGGGAGTTGTGGGTGGGGGAGCATGACGACACGCACGAGGGACACGAGGAACACAGGAACACTAGCCTTTGTACTCACTGAGTGCCTTTCAGGCCCTGGATTCTCTTTTAGACTCATCTTTGCTAAGACTTAATAGAATAAAAACTGGTGACATTTTGTTCTGTTTTTGTTTGTTTGCTTATTGAGAGATCTGTCTCTGTTAGCTCTGGCCATTCAGAAGATTCTATGTAGACCAGTTTGGCCTTGAACTCACAGAGATTTGCCTGTGTTTGCACATCCCATACCCAACTCCGCCGCCAAGTGCTGGGATTAAAAGCTTTGTTTTGTTTTTAGATAAGAAATCAGAGGACAATGTGGGAAGAAGGACTCAGCTTTCCACCCTTCCATTCTTTGGCTTTCAAGATTCTGGTCCACATAAATTCAAGAGCCTGTGCTAAAATCCACCAGATGATGGGTGCATCATTTAGCTTAAAAAAAAAACTTAAAAGAATAATACTATTTATGAAGCATAAGTCTAGTCTAGGGCAAAATCTGACTCAGGTTCCCCCTCCCCTTCCTTTTCTCTGCCTCCTCCACCCCTTCTTCATGGAACCTGATTATGTAGTAAAGGATGCTCTTCAAGTCCTGATCTTCCGTCTCTATCTCCTGAGTGCTGAGATCACAGACTTGGGTCACCAACGGCTTATGCTGGTAATTGAACCAGAACTTTGTGTGTGCTCGGCAAGCACCTTACCAGCTGAGCTGCATTCCCAGGCCCTAATTTATTTTTCAGGGAGGAAAAAAGCAAGAACTTGGGGAAATTTTTCTCCAAACATGCCCCAATGTCCCTGGATTTACATTCACACTCCTGGATAAGCATGGGTTTGAAAGTGGGCCAGACAGGTACAGTCTAAGATTTACTCTTTTCCCTGGCCCTGGCCTGGTCTTTGCCTGTCTCCTTCCCCCTGTGGAGGCCTCTGCTTATTCAAGTTGCCTACTGTTTTAATCCTCTCCTACATCCACCATCCACTAGGCAACGGTCCTTGAAGCTGCCACTGACTAGCCAGCTCTGAGTCTCCTGAGTAGGAGGCACTGAGAGCCTGTCCCTGCTCAGGGTATGGGATAGGTCCTCTGACCACAAAAAGGGGCTTGCCATAAAGTTGACAGAGGTCAGAGGCACTGAGGGGTATAGGTCAGTCAGAGACCTCAGGTTTCTGTGCTTTCCATGAGGTGCATTCAGAAGCCAGGAAAACTGGGACTCACAAAAACGCCACAAAAGTCAGCAGTGTTACAGTGTTCCCAAAGAAATCTTTCTGAGCATCCAAGGACAGCCTCCATCCACAGGCCTCTTCCATTTGCTCTGCGCTTGGCTCCGTGGGGACTATAGGACAGCACCATCCTGGGGCCCAGAGGGCAGCCCAAAGTTCTTCTGTGAACTGTACTTTGACTCCTCACCAAGGAGAGGAGCTAATGGCTGGAGACCACTGAGTTAATCATTAGGAGTTACGGCCTGGGGCATTCAAGACAGGAGGTCCAGGAAGAAGGCTGGACTTTGAGAGCAGGCTGCACAGTAAACTGTGGTGTTCATACTCTATATTGGAGCCACAAATGAGTTTTTTCCATTTTTCTTAACAGTCTTTCATTTAAAAAAAATTACAGTAAAATCAACTAGTCAGACTAGGGCTGGAGACTGGAGCAGTTCAAAGCATTGGCTGCTCTTCTGGAGTTTAGTTCCCAGCACCCTCGTGGCAGCTCACAACCATCTGTAATTTTAGATGAAGGGGATCTGACTCCCTCTTTTGACCTCTGTCAGAACCAGGTATGCAAATGGTATACAAGCAATCATGCAGGCAAACACTCACACACGAAAAATTATAAAAAATAAAAATACACAGACCAATCATGCCCCAAACAGACCAGGTAAAATTCGATATAGCACCTCACAGGTGTCGAAATTGATTTTGGTTCTGAGGCCACACGCATAAAAAATAAAAATAAAACAAGCAAGCAAACAAACAAAACAACAAAACCCTTAATTACATCAAGGCGACAAAAGAGAGTGGCAAGAAACCACAGGATTCAGAATAAGCGTAATTAAGCGGTGTATTTTGCTTGCATTCCCAACGTGGATGGTAAAGCTGTGTGGAACCCAGACACTCTTTCAGGTGTCAGTGCGAGGAGGCTAGACATCTACGTGAACCCAAGGTGGGGAGGAAGGTGCAGACCAGGGCTCCCTGCTTCTCTGTCATTGTTTGGACTCTTGTCTCAGTTTATAATCAGCCACGGTGGTCTTGATTGTGTCATACCCCAGCAGAACTCCTTGGTGATGTCTGTGGTCTCAAAGGTCAAGGCTAATTCCAGGCCCCCGCCAGCCCCCTACACCCTGCACAATGGTGGCTGGAGCCCACTGAAGAACCACAGCCCAAACTTTTCAACATAGGCGTCAGCAATCATCTCCTGCTCATACACTTGAATCTGTAATTTTAGAACATCATGAGGTAACGACTGGAACCTCTGTTTATCTCCTACACAAGCTAGGAAACCCCGTCTGCCATCCTTCCCCCAAACCCTCCCAGAGAGAAAAAAAACATCAGAATCATCTCTGCATTTCCAGCAACTCACTCGAGAGTGTCTGCCCAAGGGCTCAGTTTTAGACTGTGTATAAGCACAATCCCAGCTCCTAGTTACAGGTTATCACCCAGACCCAGGACCCAGAAAGCCCTCTTGCTTTAGCCTGGATAGATGACTTCACTGACCTCCACCTGTGAGATCAGTGAACCTACCTGAGAGCTGCCTTCTAATAAACCTGCCCAAATCTGCTATCAGTGTGATCTAATCTGGCCAATATCTGCATCACCAAGGGAGAGAAAAGTGATCTACCTACCAATCACATTCCAAGCCCATGTTTCTGTGATTCTCAAGAGGACCACAACTTTCCTGTGATAGAGCAAGGCTAGAACTGACAAATCCTGGGAGGGCATCGCAGGCTCCAAAGCAGCCCCAGGGCAGACTCCACCAGCCTCAGGTCTCACCCTTGCTGGTTATCAGCTCACTATGTTCTTAGAGGAGATGACTCTGAATTTCTAGTCCTCCTGCCCTTTACCACCATTGTTTCTTTTGGGGGAATGTTCTGGAAGTAAATAGTGATAACGGTTGCACTCATTTGTAAATTTATAAAGGACTGTGGGGTTGTATGTGCTAAAGAAATGAAGCTTATGCTAAATAAATTATAATTAAAATTGTGATTATATATACACTATATATATATACATTATATATATATACATATATATATATATACATATATGTGTGTGTGTGTGTGTGTGTGTGTGTGTGCGTATATATATTTCTCAAATAAGAAAAATGCTGCCCAGGGCCCCAAGTGATAGACTAAGTCCCAGGAAGGATGTTGGTACTGTGATCAGAATCCCAGGATTTATTGTTACCTATTACTTCCAGATGAATCTTAAAAGTACCATTTCTTCAGAGAGCTGGCAATCCAAGAAGATGCTGGGTTAATTAAACTGGACAGTTATTTAATGTTAGCTGTTGTGAGATATGTACCAGAGAAGATACTCAGAAATGGGTTTAAGCCAGTAGAAAGTCTTTATTAGCTGGGCAATGAGTACACTGGCTGTTTGGGATCCCAGGGTAGCACTGAGCCTTTCTCAGGATGAGCTTTTAAGCACTGAAAACAGGTTCTGGGATCACATATTTGCATTAGTGAGAACAGTCAGCCAGAGCGGAACTACAGAAGCTAAATAGCAAGGTTTTGAGACTTTTCCAGAACTATATGGACCTTGATTGATTAGGTCTTTGTTTGAGTTTTGGCAGGTAATGCTGTCTCTGTGATGAGTTTTACAGCCTGAATGGTGCTTCCATTCATTCGGAGTCAGTTGTGCTAAGGTCTGGGGCCCTGTTATGTTAATGTCCTCAAAATCTGTCTTCAACTTCAATTCTGACTTACAGATTACATAGGATCTCAGTTCTCCACCTCCTATAGGAGTTACATATTAATATTTTGACTACAATTTATAACAGTAGCAAAATTACAGTTATGAAGTAACAACGAAATAGTTTTATGATTGAGGGTCACCATAACATGAGGTACTGTACTAAAAGAGGACCTGAGTTCCAATCCTTAGAACCTATGAAAAAGCTAGATGTAGTAGTGCAAATGTGTGAATCTCAAAGCTCCTTAACAAGGTGAGACGTGGAGACAGGAGAATCTCTGGGAGCTCTGGGTACTTAACCATCATTGACAGGACTCTGTCTCAGATAAGGTAGAGGCAGAGACTGACACCCAACTCATCAGTCTTGGTATCAACATGGATACTATTGAACACGCTCTCTCACACACAAGCACGAAATCTTATTGCAGATGCCCCCCCCATACCTGAAGGTAGAGTAACCACCATGAGAGAGAAAGCCATAAAGCGATAGAGAAAGAGAAGGTATAAGATGCCTGAGGTATTGGTGGCTTTTTTGAGCAAGACCTGCCCTTGTCTACCTGTTCTGTCTTCCTGAATGTCAAACAAAATCCTACCACTTTCCTTTTTTGTTTCTGTTATTGTTTTGTTGTTGTTGTTGTTTTAATCTTTAACACATTCACACGTGTGTGTGTGTGTGTGCACAGCACACTTGTATGAGTCAGAAGACAACATTCAGGGGTCCATTCTTTTCTTCTCTGACGTGAGCAGAGTTCCAACATCAGGCAAGGGTTTACCCTCACAGCTATGTTTCTGACTCCTTCCTAACCACTACATTTCTGTTCTTTGGAAACTGACAGACAAGATGAAAGAAAATGAGAGAAGAAAGAAAAACGAGACAAGTATGAGAGAGACAAACAATCCTAAGTGTGGACTGTGAATGGCGATGCCAGTCTAATGCAACATGGCCTGCTTCACAAGCTTGTTTTTTTAATGTTTAAAGACTTACTTATTTT